GCATCTTATTCTCCTAAAATACACAGGGTGTTCCATTTAAATTAAACAAGTTATTGCCGTTTAAAACTAGAAATTATTTAAAATAAATTTTTAAACACTCTGTATGAGGTATTATTATTTTTATTATTGCAACACAATAACTGATCAATAAATAAACTTTAGTAAATATTTAGTATTAAAACCTTTGATACCCTTGGAGAAATGAAGACTTCAAATTTTTACTGCAATTTCACAAAATTGAAAATATTTCAAAAACGGTAAGGTTTAAGTTTGGTTTAAGTGTGATAAACCTCAATCAAATTTACTTTTATTTTAATCGTAGAAACTAAAAATGTAATAATATACAGGGTGTTCCATTTAAAAAATACAACTTTGATATTTTTTATTTATTAGGGACACTCTGTATCTTGTAAAAATATTTTTAAATTGTAGCTCTAACAGTCCTTCAAGGAACCCAAAACTTACAATTTGTAAAAATCTAATCGTTTAGCTACAATACTCCGTGTCGTATGTGGGAACAACCCTGTATATGATAGAAATTATGTCATAATTTTAACATACAAGCATGGTACAAGTTACCACGCTTGAATGGCTTCGTACAGAGAATCCCGTAAAAATCGCAATCGCAGTTTTGCTCATCTCTAGAAAATAACCAGGATACCAAGGGTGTCGAAAAATGCAACATTTTCAATTTCGCCCTGTATTTCAGGAACTAAGAGAGCTAGGATAAATCTGTGTGTAGCATCTTTAGTTTTTTTATAAAAAAAGTTGCATAGTGATGGGAAAACTACACCTTAATATCATCTCTAGTCATATACAGGAGAAACCCCATAAAACACAAATGTGACACCCTGTACAAGCTAATTACTTATTATTATCGGTGAGAAACTAATACTTTTTAATTAAAGAGATATAAAAACAAATAAATTTCTTCAGATATTTTATTATTGTTTTATTTGTTTATTAGAAATCACCGAGGAAATACCTAACAAATATTATTGTAGACGAAAAGTCTTTTCTTTGAATTCACAAGTCGTCAGAAATCTGTTCAAGAGAAAGTCTACTTTATAACAATACGAAAGCCACAGCACAAAAACTTATTAATTTCTTTTACAATAAACAGATTACTTTCTTTATTAGGTATATTTAATAAAAGGGTGTTTGAAACCCTGGGTTTATTTTTATCAAGCCGTTAACATTAGTTGATTGCCTTTTTTAATGCTAAATATTATAATTATATCCCCAATATTGCTAAATTTGAAAGTAGGAAATTACTAAAATTTTTATTATGAGATTGTCACTAACATTTAGTACTTTTTCATTGTGATCACAGAAATTTACAAACCATATGACAAAGATGTAACTGTTTTATTATAGTAAAATCTGATTAGTTTTTCAGAGTAATATTTTATAGCCATAGTCTGTCTTACGAAAGAATGTATGTCAGTAACAGCTGTTGTTTGACACTTTAATTCAAAAGTAAATTATATTTTCTGCCAGTTTAATATCTATTAAAATAGCGAAAAAAACTTACGGAAAATATATGGAGAAAATTAATTTTTAAATAAATTAGGTAAAATCTGCCATCTTCCGCAATTCTCATTCTATTAAAGTAGTATACTTGGCAAAATATTAATTTAAATGTAAGTAGTATTATTTGAGGAAATATACGGACAAAATATACAATATATGATCCTATAAAAAAACAATGCCGTAGTAGGCGCAGAAATAGTGTTTTAGTTCGAATTTAGTTGTGTTGTTTGATTTAGTTGAAATCCTTGACAAATGTTTAAACTATAATACAAAAAACAGTAGATTATAGAACATTTCCGATTTGTTTGGATATTGTATATACTTTTTACATTGTAACACAGAGAACATATAATCTTTTTTGATTAATATGTTATCTGTGATTGTAGTATGAACATTTACCAAGGTATGTCGTAATATTCATTCAATTTGATTATAAATATTATACACTAGTTGAAGCCTGGCCCATCCGCCACGACATCAGGAAAAAAACTTATTTTTTTTAATTAAATGAAAAACAAAATAGGCTGTAATTAAACTGCCGTTAAACGGTAGCTTACTAAAATACCGTTAATAGGTATGACGTTGTTGATGTGACGCACTTGACGGCTTTATGAAATATAGAAATTTTATAAGGACTAACCAACGCTAGTGGGGTGGATACCCCACCAAATAACCAACTTAACCAATGCAACTAACCTCGACACTGATAAAAAATATAAAAAACAAATATAAATTATTAAAAATCAACCATCCCCACCAAATAACCAACTAACCAATGAATTAACACCCTCCAAATAACCACGCTAACCAACCCGCCAAATAACTAAACGAATCCAACTAAAAAAAGTGAAACCAATGCAATAAGATCGCGCTATAAGCAAAAAAAAATATAAAAAAGTCTTGGTCGGCGTGAGATTTGAACCACGGACCATTCGCTTAAGAAGCGATAGCCTCAGCCACTGACCCACAGGTGCTCTTGCAGAATGCTAGGCATTACTTTCCGCCGACATAAACGACGCACAGTGCTTCGTCCCATGGACAAAAATCGAAAAAAAAGTTAAAATTTACTAATATCTGAATATGTAATTTTATACTTATAGCAATGTTCAACCATCCTGTATATTATTTTTCACAAAAATACATTTTTTTCACGTTTTTTGTTAGCAAATATTTTCACTAAAAATAAATTTTGCGATCATTATCTTATATTAGTAAAAAGAATAACATTCATAGTAGTTCTGTATATGGAGTTAAACGGTATGTACTTAATTGAAAGCCACTATGGATATTGTTAAACAAGGTATGTACTTTAAATTTATTTCTAAACAAGTTCAAGTAGTTATTGTTTAGTTTTTATTTATTTTTTAAGATGATTCTTAAATGGGTATAAAAATTTTACGTTTTCAAACTTCAAAAAGTCATTAAAAAAAACATATCAAAACATATCGTATTTATTGAATATTTTTGTTGTCATATTCATACACTTTTAATTTTTGTATAGTTCACCTGCGTCCGCTTGCGACGGACTTTATTTTTTAATACTTTTCAGATGGAGTAAAATTGATAAGCAATGCCGATCTGGTTAATACTTGGCTTAATCATAAGGACAAGAACTCAAAATTATTTATATTTCAAAAAATGTGTTCTTTATTAGATATTGATGAACCTTCCAGTCCAATTTTATAACCACTTGTGCCTGAGCTCACTATGTTGGAGCGAAATGTGGCATAAAAAATGTTTCCATCTTTCAATTTATTATAAAACCTCATACCAAAGAAAACGAAAAAATAATATATGGATATGGTCTATTAAAGAGGTAACTATTAACATCCGAACCCCTCATACCAACAAAAAGAACAGTAACAACGCGAAAAAGTAACATATTAGAAAATGATGTACAGAAATATCGTATATGTGAGGATATTTCATCTACCTGTGATTTGGATACTATAAATTTGGAAGGTTCTGTCAGCAATGATTCTTCTGAATCAGAGTAGTTACGATCTATGCATTTTGTTGTCCTAAAGTAAATTTATAGTATCTTAAGTTTTTTTTTAATTAAATATATCATTAATGTTTCTTTTTCATTAAGAAAAATATTTTTATCTTATATTAGGTTTATATTGTAGGAATCATGTTCTAATGTTATTCCAATTCTTTTTTATCACAGGGATTTATTTAATACTTACACCGTTTTCATACTATAAATTATTATTTCCTTAGATGGAACACAGCTCCAACATTTTTATTATTTATAAGATTTTTTTTCATAAACGTGGGACTAAGAACATCATCATTTAGTACAATGAGAGTACTCATCATTTGTGTCAAATAAACCTAGTTTGAATAAATTGCCTACAATAAAAGGGAAGTTTTGCATTTTTGTCCTCTAGAGCCATATGTTCGAAGCACTGTGCGATGTCACAATATCTATTAACGGCATTTTAGTAGGCTACCGTTTAACGGCTGTTTAAGTACATCGAACAAAATATCCGGCGACGACAGTTTTTAGAAGAGCCAATTAACTATCTTTTAGTAAAAAAAGCAACTTTCTACAGCAAGACGTTACTTCAGTAGAGACGACACAGATAAACATTAGCATTTTATATATGTATATTCCGTCGAATTCTTTTTAAAAAATGATAATGAATCAGCATAATTAACATAATTAAAAATATGTAAGCATGCGCTCTGAAAAAAATTATATATCATCTATCATATCGTTTTCCTACAAGATGCACTTCAATGCGAGATATCAACCATGCATCATAGGCACAATAAATCATTTTTTTTTGTATATTTTTGCAAGATATAAATAAAGAAAAAACGTTCTAGTCTTAGGTACTTTATTACAAACGGATAAACTCGATAGTCCGAAAATTGCTTTTATATCTTACAAAATCGAGCTTTACAGGGTGATCCACTGTATTGTATACCGAAAAAAAAAATATTTCAGGATTCCTTTTTGAGATTTTCACACCATTTTTTTTTTCAGAATATGCAGAATTTGTAGCACACATTTTCTAAATATTTTCTTATTTAAATATTAATATTCAACAAACTTATTTTTAAATTATTGTTATATTTTATAATTTTAAAATAAGAAGCTATATTTCCTTAGACTTCTAAGAATTAGAAAAAAAATCATAATTAATTAATTTCGAATTTTACTATAAAAATAAAAATAAAATTGAAAAACCAGTTTTTTTAAATCTCGAAAACCGTTTAAGTTAAAAAGCTAAAAATTTAGGTAAATTATTTTGATTCGACACCAAATCGATCCCTTGAGTGCGAGTCAAAAAAGCCGCGGGGGCAGATTTCCTATATTAATCCGGCTGTACCCTTTAAAGTAGTTAAAATCTCAAACAAGAAACCCGATATTTTTACCAGCTTTTTCGGTGTTAACAGTGGGTCACCCTGTACACCATCATTACGTCCGATGGAATGCGTTTAATTCGAATACGTACGGTAAGGAGAAGAGTGCTTTTTCGGTGAGGCCGGACACAGAAGCGGCGATGGCCAGCATGAACGTAGTCAGGCCGAAGGAGGCATGAATGGGCACCAGAGCTGACCTAAAGCCTGCTGTGGCCCCCTCGCAGCAGAGCAGGATCAGAAAACTGAAGAAGCCGACGACAAACTGAAAAAGAAACGTTGATAAATTAATTAAAATATATAAACTATTATTACTGTAATTTTAGACTTTTTCTCAATTTTTTATTAAAAGTTTAATATATTATTTCCATTCTTTTACAGCTTTTAGTCTATCTGTATTTTAGTGAGTTCTTAATTAACTCATTACACTTTGCATCATCTATTCAAAACACAAAATACACTTAGATCCATTTTACCACATACTAAACCAATGAATACAGAACAGCAAACAAAAAATGTAATATACCAAATACCATGTGAATGCGATAAATTTTACATTGGTGAAACATCTAGACCCTTAAATGTTAGAATTAAAAAACATAAAGATTATTTAAGAAAGGGAGATTTTCACAAATCTAAGATTTGTCAGCATTCTTGGGACACAGGGCACAGAATAAATTTTAATAACGCCAAAATTATAATGAAAGAAGCGATAGCCTCTAAAAGAAAAATAAGAGAGGCTTTTTTAATACAACCTAATAAAAATAAACGTATTGCTCATGCATCTGTAGATGTTAGTAATGTATGGCAATCGCTTTTTCGATTTTAAAGAACATAACATACGTAAAATTTAAAAGTAATCATACAGAAAGTTTGGGGTTTTTTGGTTTTACCATATTAAATAATTGTTATCAGGTAGTAATTGTTAATTTTGAAGTTTAACTTGACATAATGTCATTTTAATAGAACGTCAACGGTTTTTGTAGACGTATCAGTTTTTAAAAAAACTAAATTGTTCTCGAATTAATATATAAAAAAAAATAAATATATATAAACCAAAAATTCATTTTTTGGTTTTGAAAAATTGCTTGTATACACAAAAATGAGAAAAAAAATCGCGAATTTTTTTAAAATTGTTTTTAAAATCAAAAAAAAATAACCTAACAACAAAAAGAGACAGACAAACCACTGCCACTGTCCTGTATCCTCCTTTTACTACTATAAGTATTTCTTAAACTAAAGGTTTGATTTTTAGCTTCAAAAAAATTTCAAAAAAAAACAACGAGGTTTTGAACAATGTGCTACACAAGATAGGTTCGTATTTAGGAAAATTTGAGCACCTAGCGGCGAGGTAAGTAAAAAAGTGACGTTTTAGTTCACCCTTCAATTGTCTTCCTGTATTTAATTTTAAGTAGATTATTAGGAGATACAGATATTTTTAAGAAAATATATAAAAACTCCAAACCAAATATCTCACACACTGTATTTCTTATTTAATTTAATTAATCCAACATAGTAGGTTTCATTTACATAATAATTAATCGAAAGATTCCCATATATAGACATAATTTTCCGTATATTTTACTAAGCTAAGAGTATATTTCAATTTTCCTATAAAGAATAAAAAATGTGATCCCTGACATTACACCTTAATAAAATTTCCATACCTAGACTTGAACAATTTTTCGATGACCTCCTATTTAATAACGTTCTGTATAATTTATCTCTTTTAGCTCGTCGCGTAACTTACATAACGCTTTCACTTCATTATCAAATAGAAAACGCGAATTTGTAGCATCTCTTATTTCATTTTGTTCCTTAACAGCCATGACATAACAATTTCACCCCAAGTAACGCACGTAATATACAGGAAGAGTATAAATATACAATTCTATTGTTGCATTGTTTGTTTATTCCAAAAATATAAGTATACTAAGGGCTGGCAAAGGTGAGTCTTGGGTCGAGATTTCCGTATGTAAGAAGAGTACAATGCATTTATAATGTACTGAACAAAGAGAAAACAGTAAACACGTTGTAAACAAAGAGAAAACAGTAAAAACAGCACACACATAGCAGATTTGTCGCAGTTGACCGGTCGACCCAATCAATACCTCTGTCAGTACTTAAAGTTCTAGGGAAAGGTGTACGTCATGCGTTCAACTTCACGATTTAATTACGTCTCGTGATACTTAATTTGTTTGTAGTTTTTTCAAGAACTTTGTTAATATTTCTGCTGTATTTTCTTTGTAGACAGTATGTGAAAATCTTTATCAATAAAAAATTACACGATTGCTAAAAATTGCTATGCTCTAAAATGTAAATGGATGGATTGTTTACAGTTTTTGAATGGAAAAACAACCTTATCGAATTTTACTTATGTAAACATATTGTAAAATAACCGATCTTGAAAATAAAAAAAAGTTACGATATCTAAAGTGGTTCTTGAGTTATGGCCTGGTATGTGTTAAAAAGTTGAGTTTTTAAATTATCGCGATTACTGACGTTTTCTGGTTATAAAAAAATGACACCCTAACGATATCCTTATAATTCCATTTCAGATGCTCAGAAACATGTCTAATGATTTTATCTAGTTATCTCTTGAAAAAAAAAGTCTTTTAAAAGTAAGCGGTTTGCGATCGTGATTTTACTTTACTTGATAGGGAAAGGCGTATCGGCAACGCCGCAACAGCACACCGTCGCGCGTTGCGTCGGTCGTTCGCATTTCCCTCACTCCGACTTAGTAAGCTCCCTATGCGATTTACTTCCACACATGTAAATGCCGACCCAAAAGTAACAGTCGCCAGCACGGTATAATAGAAGCGGAAGATTGTTTATTTGAAAATTTAGTAGTATACTAAAATTTAATAGTCTTATCTTATGTATAAAGATTAAGATAAAACTTTAAACCCCTGGAAGAATTGTGTAAAATTTATGACTAACTCACTCTATATTTGTTTAACAGTAAATATAATAAAATTAATAAGTGTTGACCTTTTATTTTGGTAAAAATTACCATTTACCATTACTGTACCTGTATAATTGGTCGTATAATTAGTGCATTAGTGCACTATGACTAATACAAATATTTATATTTATTAGAGTACACGGAGCTTTTAAAAATAAGAGTTTAGTTTTTATTGTGTGCTTTCTTAGGTATAGTTTTTTGTTAAAAAGTATGTATTGTTTTTAGAATTTCATTTCTTGGTAGCAGTTATAAAGTAGTGTCGTTAAAATTATTAAAGATGAAAAAAAATAACCACACACATCAGTTTTTCCTCAATGTCCTAACCAACTAGACAGTCTAACCTTCAGATATTCCTCAAACTGTATGGTGAAGACTTTGAGGCTGCAGGTAAACTAGGGTTGCCACCTTTTGGCAAAGCAAAGAAAGGACATTGGACTATGAAAAGAAAAGAGAGACAGAGGAGAGGGGCTGTTGATGCAAACCGCCGATTATAAATCGCTACTTTAAAATTTTGAAAAGCTCTTTTTAAGATCAAAATGGTTAAAAATAAAGCCTATTTCAGATTAAACGGGTCAAATATTATGCTTTACCTATTCGGAGTAAAAATGATACTTTTTGTGACGAGGCTGTACGTTTGACGACATTAAGGTGCGTTCACACCGGCTGCGCCGCGCAAAAACATTTTTTAACATGTACTTTTGAAGTGTATTTTTTTAGCGCGCACAAAAGTATATGTTAAAAAAATGATATGGGCGGCGCAGCCGGTGTGAACACACCTTTACAGGCGAGGCAAAAAAGTAATTTTTACTCCGAAGAGTATTGCTGTATTTTTTCAAACGTTTACAAATAATTTTAACAATTTCAAACGTTACAAATAATATAAAAAGATTTAAAAGTAATACCCTGTAAGCAGAGACTGTAAGTAATTATATGTATATCTTGAAATTATGGTTACACTCGTTGAATTTGACACTTTATGTTAATTTAATATATTTTCTTACTTTTGTGCTTAGGCGTAAAAGTGCTTTACTTTTATGCCTAATCGTTACAAATGACTTTTTTATATTGCAATTGCGTGGCAAAAAATTAATATTTTTGTGACGTTTGAAAAAAAAACGATTATTTATAAATTTTATAACATGTCTAATTAATTACAGTTGAGGGTTGGAACGTCTTTGGTTGGAACCTTTGGTGTTACACAGTAAAATAAAAATACTAAATCACCACAACACACCAAAACACTTTTACTTTTACACTGGACGCGCGGGTATTTATGAAATTTCTTGTAAAGATTGTAATCAGAAATATGTTGGGCAAACTAGAAGATCAATATTAACTAGATTTAAAGAACATTTAGCTCAGATAAGATATGGTAGACTGGATAAATCTTGCGTTGCCGAACATATTGTTGATAAAGAACATTGTATAGATCTTAATAATTTAAAATTAATTAAACAAGTCTCAAATTACAGGCAATTAGATGCATATGAAAGCATCAGAATTAACAAATGTAAAGATAGTATGAACAGAGACAACGGTCCAGTTCCTTCAAGTTCTATGTTCCTACTACTCTAGTGGCGGAAATCTAACTGTTACGCTCAGTGGGCTCTGACTCGGGTGGCTAGATTTTGCCACGCCCACTCGATGCCCACTGAGCGAGTATATAAACGCTCAACTTGTAGATTGTACTTTAGTTTATAATCATCTGCTGATGATGCTAACATGGTTAGCGAAACGCGCGTCCAGTGTAAAAGTAAAAGTGTTTTGGTGTATTGTGGTGATTTAGTGTTTTTATTTTGATGTGTAATTAAATTTGGATAAAATGAATATTGCTGGTTGCTGTAGATAATTTTCTCGGGGATTAACATTTATCTCAGTAGAAATAAAAAAGACTTTTTTGGTCAAAAAAAGTCAAAAGGACAATTTGTTCTAAAAAAGGATTGTCCTTTTCAAAAAAGGACAGGTGGCAACCCTAGGATAAACTACAAAAAGCTCAGAGACTGTAGGAATGCTGGAGCATCAGTTGATGATGTATATCTAAAATTAATTGACGCCAAAACAATTAAATGTAATAGTATAATGTCAGTTCGTGTGTAGGTCATCTGCATTTGAGAACTTAAAGCATAACCGAAGAACCTGGAAGACTCCTTTCGTAACCTGGAATGAGAATCCTTCAACGGTCTAAGACACTTGAAGATATTTTTCAGGACTAACGACCGAGAAAAATCAAAGAGATTTTCCTTGATTTAAATAAGGACAACCTTCGGATTGCCACGGGGTTTTTAACAGGACACTGTCTCACACACTCAATAAACACTTCAGTAGATTGATGCTAATAAACAACGGCGAATTCTGTGGGGAGAATGGAGAAACATCAGAAACATCATCCTTTGGTACGGATGAAGAACTAACCTCTGTGAAACCGTCTCATTTGCTGGCTTTAGTTAAAGCCCTACGACTATATGATAAATAATAACTCAAAAAAGGGAGACACAATAGATCTATAATAAGGTCGCGGTGATTAACTTCCACCCTCTCATACATTCTACAATCTTTGCCTTCATGAAAAACTGTAAGTGTGTGGCTACTTTTAGAAGGCGTTAGGAAATTCGAAATCGAAACGCGATCATCCGAAACGTCATAAATAAGGGAATCGGTTCCGTACCTCCTTTAACAAGCGATCCGAACGCAGTGTTCACCTGTTTAGCATTTCACGATTCAACAGTTGTTCGCGTGCGAAGTGATCGGATCGTGAACGCCCATTTTTCCTACAAGAGAAATACCTAAACAGCGCACGATATCGAACTTTCTAATGCCGAAGACGTACGAGTATGTTTACATAGAAAAAATAAAGCTCCTACAATCGTGTACACAGGAAGAGAAATTCAGATACAGTACTCAATGAAAGAGAGTAAGAGTGCCAGTCTCATATCCGCACCCTATACTAATAATATCAGCTGAAAAACGTGTTTTATCATTGCTTAATTCAACCATTAAAACGTTTATCTACCACTACAAAATATTTTAAATTAACTAATTAACTATTTTTTAATTTTGTTTCTTAAAGGAACCTGATATACAGGGTCCGGCAATGGCAATAGTACGTCGCCGGCATCTGTAGCTCCTATAATACAGGGTGGTCCGAACTGTATTCCGGAAACTTTGGCAGCATATTCTGCACAAAAAGAAGTAAAAGTTCGTATAAATGTATGTCCTAAAATGATTAGTTTCGGAGATACAGGGTGTAAAAGTTTCATTTTTATTTCGATTTTTTCTAAATAATTTCTGAAGTAACGTCAATATTTGGATAAAAATTGGTGTCCGGTAGTTTTTTGACATGAGAAATTTTATTTTGATGTCAATATAACTCTTATTTGCAGGGGGCGCCACTTACATATGTTTTAACTGTTTTGAAGAGTAATAACTTTTCGTCCGTACCTGTATAAAACTACTGAGCGAAAAATATACATTTCCGTGATTTTTTACGTAAAAAACGTCCCTTGGTAAAAATCGCTACGAGCAACCGTTCTCAAGATATGTAGAATGGAAATAGTCAATACATGTCATTATTGACAAAAAATAAACATATTGAGTAGATAGTTATTTGACTGAAATGGGAAATTTGTGAAATTTTTATTTTTTTAAATTAATCATAAATTTTTCTTCGAAAAAATGATGATAAAACAGTTTTTGTTGAACCTTTGGCACAAAAACATTTCAAATTTATGATTTCAGTCTAATAATTATTTTTACGTAAAAAGAGCGTAAATGTATATTTTTTTACTAAATAGTTTTATACACGGTACGGACAAAAAGTTGTTACTCTTCAAACCAGTTAAAGATCATGTAGGTGGCGCCCTCTACAAGTAAAAGTCATATTGACATCAAAATCAAATTTCTCATGTCAAAAAACTCTCAGACAGCAATTTTCATCCAAATATTAGTATTACTTCAGGAATTATTTGGAAAAAATCAAAATAAAAATGAAACTTCTAAACCTTGTATCTCAGAAACTAAGCATTTTAGGACATACATTTATACGAACTTTTTTACTTATTTTTATCTGCAGAATATGCTGCCTAAGTTTCCGGAATACAGTTCGGACCACCCTGTATAAAACGTGGGAATTTTGTTTAAGTGCAAACCTAAAGCCGTCTTTGAAGCCTTTTTTTATCATAGGGTAGTAGCAAATAAGATAAGCTTCCTTAATTAATTTATTTAAGTTCACCCGGTATATTTCATCATCAAACAAATATATTTACATCTGACTCACACTGTATCTTCTTCAATCTTAAACACACATCTTACAATACATTTATTAAAGTACCTCTACATGCACAATTAACTATTATATCTGAAACTAGATTAATGCCTTTATACTTATCATGTACCGGAAATTTCTTATTAATGTTAATAGATAACGATTTTAAAGGAACTCACGTTACAATAATTGTGTTTACTGGCATAGTTGAAGACAGGTAATACCTCCTTAATTATCTCAATGATCTCAATAGGTGGGATGACTCAAAATTGCATTTAATGAGCTCATTGCGAAGGAGTGTAATAATGAAACAAATTCTATAGACATTAAATTAATGGTTGTTATTTATAGGAGGTTTACACTAAGTTGCATATTTAGGACACATATTACGACTGATATTTTTGATAAAAATACAGGGTGAGTAAATAATAAAGTTCATTCGCTTCTATTATATTGCTGTAAATATAATTCTAAGTGACTTACTTGTATGGCAAATAATCCCATAGTTACCAATCCTATCCAGCTGTGCAACGAGTAGAAATTGGGAATTGGTGGCTGAGCCAGGTTGTGGGAGTCCAACACTGCCAAAAATCCAATGGCCACACAGGGTATCGCCAACGCATGGAACACCGTATGGAGCAGTTTGACATATATCCTTCTGCAGCATCTGCATATCCTGTAGAGGAGCACAGCTAAAAAAGATTTATAAATATTATTTTGTATTTTTAAAAAATAAACGGATGAGAGAGAATAACTAACAATAAGTTATTTCAATTTAATCAATCAATTTATTGAACTTGAAAATTAGTATTGATTGGATCAGGATGCTATTAAATTCGTAATAAATTTATTTATGTTCTCATTGATTAAACATTCCTGTATATAATTATTTATCGTTAAATGTGAGTAATGAGTTAAATTTTCATTTTAAATGAATGGTGTTAATTACATACGAGATTACATATTTAGGTATTCTTAACAACTAGTTTTTGAAGTATCCACTTTTCGTGGCTTATTTTTTTATTTTTCCTACACATTTTTTTCTTTTTATTGATTTGGGATTGTCATCACTAAAACTCAAACAACAATAGACAAAAAAAACTCTACAGAGTAAGTCTCTCTACTCCTGCGCACACAGAGGCTTATTTACTGCGCATACGATAAGAGCCTTTGAATGTAAGAGCAAAACCACAGATTAAGTATTATACAGATGTTGCACTTATTTTATCATTAATATGACTATGGCGTTGTCAGACTTTCTTTTTTTTTCGAATGCATTGTTGCCTTTTGTAAAAAATGTATTCCCAATTGAAATAATACTTAATCTGTGGCACAGCTTTTTATTGTAGCGACACAAATTAACTACAACAGATGTGAAAGAACACCGAATTACGCGTTCAGATTTCTGTGACCTTCAGAAAGAGTACATAGACAATCCGCATCAATGTATAGTTTGGGTTATTATTTGTTTGGGTGAAAATAATCTGCACCAATATGTTATCGAGGCATATAATCTCACAGTAATTTAATAGATTGCTCGTCATATTATATCAGTTCGTAGGAGATTAGGAAAAAAAAGATATTTATAGTGTAAAAAATTAATTTATTTAACAAAATTTAATTAAAGATGTGACAAAATAGTTACTTTTCTATTGGTTCTATCGGACTTTTTTGACTATATAAATCTTTATTTTTTGTAAACTTTAATGCATAAAATATTTTCAATCTAATAAATAATTTAATGATGTAAATAAGAGGAAATTTCTCACATGGGTGGTCAAATTCTATAGTTTTCATTATATCAAACAGCCTCTGAATGTTTTCTTCAGTGCAAAACTCATCAAAATTTAATATAAATAATTTTTCCATTTCCAGTAAATAAAATGAACAAATTTTTCCACTTTCATGATCAAAGGCTTTTAAATGGGTAAATAATTTCGAGTTATCCAGAGATTCGGATTCTTTTGCAAATTTTAGACAAATATCACATTGATGTATTTGAAGACCCTTTTAATTGATGTAGTCAAACATAATTAAAGGCATTTTGAGTTGAAAACATTTCTCAGAGGCTGTTTGATATAATGAAAACTATAGAATTTGACCACCCATGTGAGAAATTTCCTCTTATTTACATCATTAAATGTTTTATTAGATTGAAGATTTATTGACAAAACATTAAACGAGAAATACAAACCCCAAATCATAGACACAATGATAACAATACACAATATATACAACTTACAATTCCATACATGCATTTCGGAAGAAATAAGAAGGATAGGAAAACAATATAAAATACGAACATCTTTCAAAACACCGTTGACCCCAGGGGTCGCCTAGAGATTTTGTTATTTTAAAAATGAAAAATAACTTTAAAAAACACATTCTTTGAATAAAATTTTATATTAATTTCTCTATCAATAAATTTCATTGGTTATCAAACATTTCACTTGGTTATCAAACCGTGTTCCCGTAGATTACTTAAGTACCTACAAATTTTCTAAAAAAATAAAAATAACACATTTTTAGAACACAATAAAATAATATTATCTAAACAAAACTAGAAAACGTCATTTTTACTACATCACAAGCAAATAAAAATTAATACGTAGCCAAGAGTCATAATTCAGGATTTCTCTGGGGGGTGTCCAGCAGCACTTGGTGGGGGGGAGGGCACCCCCGGGCCCCCCTGTAGTTACGCCAATGAACATAACATACGTAAAAATTAAAAATAATCATACAGAAAGTTTGGGGTTTTTTGGTTTTACCTTATTAAGTAATTGTTATCAGGTAGTTAATTATGAAGTTTAACGTCAACGGTTTTTGTAGACGTATCTGTTTTAAAAACTAAAGTGTTCTCGAATAGTTAAATTTAAATATTTTAAATATTTTTTTTCTTTATTCTTTGTATTTTTTTTTGCTTCCGACGACCGAAAGAGATAAACTATCCGAAACGTTAAGCATTTTTTTGTTCGTTAGGCAAATTTGCATATCTGTAAACCTAATTTCTGACAAGTAGTTTCCGTTTGGGTTAACGCCAGAAGTGTTTACAAAAAATAACTACATATTTTATTTTGGAGATTTTCTTGCAGTGGCGAAATACCCATATAGGACTTCTTGGAGAGATGAATCCGCCACAAAGGTATATACATTTTTTTTCATATTTTCATGTTATCTAAATTTTCGCTAAAACGGTATGGAGATTTGAAAAAAATATTAACGGAATTATCAATTTTAGAACAAGCAATCTAAATGTCAATTTATAGTCAATCCGGGGACATACTGTATAGGCTATAGAATTATACGAACTAAAAATCCATTTTCGTGAAGTCTGCTCCATTAAGGAAGCTAAAACATTTAAATGGAACAAACCGACGCCACAATAAAACGACATTGTTTAAAATTTATCCCGCAGCTTCAAAGCTTCGAAGCGCGGGCTTTGGCACACGAAACCTCTTTGTTCTAGGCCACTCCGAAACCTGGAAACGTATATGTACCGGGTTTAAATTGGGCGTGTTCGCGGCTTCATTAATTCTTCACTCGACCTTCGCTCATTCTTCAGATATTCTCGAGCGTATAATAAATCATGCACCGTTTCCACATCGTTCGCGCGATGAGGTAACTTTTATGCAATCGCTCTTTCCACCTCTGTACGATCGCTTTTCTTCTTGTTGTTAAAGTAAAATATATGAGAGAATGAACTTTATTCATTTCATTCACTTTGTCCTTTACTCCTACGTGGAACTTAGATGGCTTTTCAATAAACGCTCTCCAGCGGGTTCGGTTGTTGACAATTGATTTGACATCTCGCTATGATCGGTTCACTGCTTCGATCTCCTTTTTAATTGACCTTTGCCATATATACACATGGCCAAAATTTTTATTTTATTTTGGACCTAATATGATTCTTTTGATATTTTTGGACATATTGGCTTACTACACAACTGCAAGTGCAACTAGGTGTTATTATAATTTCATTTCATAATGAGTGAAAATTAACAAAAACAAATTTCATTTTAAACAGAAAATATTGAAAACAATTTTAATTATTTCTCAAAACGAATAGTCTGTATTGCCTCCTCGAGCCTCAATGCAAGCTGTGAGACGACGTGGCATGCTCTCAATTAAGTTGTCCAGAAGATGTTGAGGAATGGCTTCCCATGTTTCGCGCGCAGCAATTTTCAATTCATTTAAGGTACGGGGGATCATTCCTTTTGACAATATGGCGTTTTAGCATGTCCCAAGCAAGCTCGATCACATTCATATCTGGAGACATCGGTGGCCACCACAGTTTTCTTATACCCTCTTCCTCACAAAATTCGCGAACCGCTAAAATGCGATGGGGAGGAGCATTATCTATTATTATAGTATTATATATGAGGCACCTGTCATTGTGCCATCAATAAAAACAAGTGGAGCTCCGTGCATTATACCTGCCCATACCATAATGTTTCCCCCATGAAACGGGACACGGGGTTGATCTGCATTCAAGCGTGCTTGTCTTCCAGATGCTCTCCAGACCAAAGTTCGTCGCGAGTCTGAAATTAGGCCTATTCTTGTTTCATCACTAAATATGACGAAATTCCAATTAGGTCCATTTGCTCTCATCTCCTCAGCCCATTGTAGTCGCGTAATTTTGTGCTGTAAATTAAGCTTCGGAACACGTAGAGGCCTCCTTAAATGTAATCCTCTATCATGGAGTCTTCTTGCTATGGTCTTTCTTGAAACATTTACTCCCTTAAGGCGAGCTAACTCATTTTTAATAGCAGTACTAGAAAGCAGGGAATTGCGTCGTGCAATTAGGGATATTTGACGGTCTTGCACAGCAGTAGTAACTCTCTTTCTACCTCTTCCAGGCCGGTCTGTAACCTCGTTTGTCTCCCTGATTTTTTTAATATTCGCGAAACATCGCTTTGGTTAACTCCTACAATTTCCGCTGTTGCAACTTGCCGGTAGCCCTGTTGAGACAGTGTTACTATTCTGACTCTATTAAACTCTGAAATAATGTTTCTAGGCATTTTAAGGCCAAAACAATGGTCAATTTCTTTCTGAAACCCAAGAGTCCACAAATCGAAATGTGCAAGAATTTGTAATAATATTGGGTCTGAACGATAAACATTGTTTACTATATCCTTTATAATAAAAAAATGTTTATTACAAATTATCAAAGCTTAGTATAAAAAAAGATTCTTTAAATTCCTTTCCGTATATTTTTAAACGATATATGCAATAATTTTGGTCATGTGTGTATGTCTCTGGCGACCAGTTTTTCTACTGCCTTGTGGATTCCACTCAGTAGCTCTGCCAGCGATGTTTTGCAGCTTCGCCTTAAAGTGTGACCATTTTCTTGGTTGATCTCGTTATACACCTGCCTCTGGTTGGTCAAGCTCTATAAATCCTCATTTCAGATAGTATTTGACCAGAATATTCCAACAATTTTTCGCAGACAGCTGTTTATGAAAACTTAAGTTGAGAGTACTGTCTAGATCTCCAAATATTGTTGAGCATCCCAAATGCTATTCTGGCCTTCTTTATTCTATTTATGATATCTTGCTCTGTGCCTCCGTTGGTTGAGATTATACTACCTCAGTAAGTAAAATTATTTACCTCCTGTATATGTCTTGTTCCAATGATAAAGGGAGTAACATTTTTGGTACCAACTCTCATCGATTTAGTTTTTTTAATATTGATC